TACTAGCTGAAAATTAGTGCGGTTAGTCCGGGGTGTTTGTCCATGTCTGGACCGAAGTCTCGTCCAGAGCCTGAATTTTGTGTGCACGCCTATTTTACAAATCTGGCTTTTCTGTATGCAAACTGTTGGTTTCCTTGAATCTCAGGCAGACGTGCTCCGAATTCAAAGAAAGCCCCTAATTAGTGGAGCACCTCTATAAAGTTTAAAGGTTCAGACGGATCAACATTATGGCACAAGGGTAACCCATAAATGCTCCGTTCTACTTCTAACCCAAGTCTGAGACCGAAGAATCTCAGTGCAGTGCACGAACTTGGTTGCACCAGCGAGAATTCTGAAATACTTTGGGTAGATTTTAAACTCTAAATCTTGTCTAGGCAGTGCCGTTGGACTACTCTTTTTAATTTCTAATTGCCTACGGAATTTTTATGTGTGCAACAATACACATGTGCGTCCGATTTTACTACACAGACACCCTGGACCTCCAGCACTTGAGGCGGACGCCTGGCCCTGAGATCAGGCAGCATCCCCTCTATAAGTCAACCTTTATGACATGTCTGTTAGGGTGGCAGTGCGCCTATTCATTTTGTACTTCCACAATGGGCCTCGGAACCCAGATGGAAAGTACCTTATACAATTCTCTTCTACCAAGTATTGTTCCAGGAAATAAATGTGGCCAGCTTGATACTGATGACATTACTAACACTGACCACACAACTTACATAGTCAAATAATACAGGGCGCCAGCAAGATATGATCAACGAGCTTCAAGGTACAGAGAAACAGGAAACAAAAGAAAAACAATCAGGAAGAGCCAGTGACAATGGATACTTTAAGGAGATGACTACATAATCATCATCATGTAGCAGGTCTTTTGCAGAACGTCGCTCTCATGCCGGTCTGCCTGGAAGAAACTCCGTCTCTCGCCAGCTCTCCCGCGTCATGCACTTTCACACTCATGGAGTCACTTATATACTGTGCCCATCTTTGTGTTGGTCGGCCCCTGCCCCCCTCCTTCCATTTTTCTGCCATTATTTTTTCCAATCCGTTGTGACTATATAATACAAAGAGAAAATAAAATGGTTAACCTAATTAGACAAAATGCTTTGTGATACCATACAATACAAGGCATTCACTAAAAGAGGAGGGACACCAAGCCTGAGGTAGACCAAGAATTTGGATGGAAAGATAACATCAGAAAAACTCTATAACAGTACAAAATATCTATGGCTGAGGTAGCCAAAACAGCCAGAAGCAGAACCTTGTTATCTACCATGTTATCTCCCTTGACATCCAAAACAGAACGAGAGAAGGTGAAGAAGATAGACAAAGCAACCAATCAAATTCTAGCAAATACTGTTCAATGTAAATCAGCTTTATGCAAATCTATGTCAACCAGATATAGCAGCCAATCAATTATAGTAAAACTGGTCTACGCAGATTTAATCAATCAATCCTTGTCCCACTCAGAGGCACATAAGGCAGAGACAAACTGTTGCCTCTCAGTTCGATCCTGAGCCATTCTATCTCCAGTTTTGTTCTTCGTGTAGCCTTAAGTTCAGCCTCAAAGGTTCGCTTCTGGGCCTGCCTTGTGGTGTCCACTGCATTGCCTGTCTCACCCGTTTCTCTTTCTTCATTCTGAGGACGTGTCCAATACACCTCCATATTCATTTTTTAAATTTCTTAATTTAAATCTTTTAAGTCTTTTCTTTGTTGTAATGTAGAATTTCTTATTTTATCTTCCCAAGTGAACCCCCAACAATCTTCTGAGAAGTCTTCGCTCAAAACCTCTGAGCATGCTCTAGATTTTTCTGTTTTCCAAGTTTCTGCTCCATAGAGGAGAACTTTCCTAAAGCATGTTTTGTATATTCTGAGTTTAGTTTTAGTGCTGTAGATGTTTGATCACCATACATTCTCAACCGTGTGCATGTGGTTGCTTTCTTCTTTACATTATCATAATGAGAAACAAGAAAGATTACAGAATGCACCCTTGCACCTATGTAGATTAGCTTGATGCAAATCCATCTAAAAATTTCACAATTCGTTTTTACATATTATTCCTAAAACACACAAAGATACCCCACCCCCCCCCCCCCCCCCCCCCCCCCCCCCACCCCCCCCCCCCCCCCCCCCCCCTCCCCCCCCCCCCCCCCCCCCCCCCCCCCCCCAATCAACCTTCAATAAAAAGGTGTGTATGAAACTTTCAAACAAACAAAAATAAAAACAAAGAAGAAAATAAAAAAATAAAAAGACAGCTATTTTTGTTAAAATATATAATACAAGAATGAAGAAAGAATTAAAATGACTGCGTTAACACTTGCACAATGAAACGTTCATAAATCGCTCCTGTGTGCATCACCAACACTAGCTTTCAATGCAACAATGAGTATCCCGTTTTCAAACAAACTGAAAGAACAAGTTGTTTCCCCCAAACATATAAAAATTGGGGGGATTTATCAGTCAGATGTCATCTCCACAAAGATGGTTGGCCGCAATAGAACACTATGATATTCTGTCCTTCGTCCAAGATGCACCCCCCTCCCAGACTGCTGTTTGTCCATCTTTAAAAGGTTTCTTTCCACTTGTATCACCGTCTGCTTCTTGCTTGCTTGTCTTCAACTTATTCCTCCAATATGATTTTTATAAGCGTGTTGTCTTTAAATATGGTCAAAATGTATCGCTTGTCAGGGAGAATTAAAGAATTTTAGCGCAACACTCACTTCTACAAGCTCACATACACATACTGAGTGTCAGAAATATGGCTACATATTAATGGCATGTTTCATGTAACGAATCACATGATGCACCTAACTATGAAAATGAGACTTCTCAAAAAGCAATTCTTCAAATTACCAATTTATTTTGAAACCAGTTTACTGAATTCCTTTGCTCAGGAAATGGAAATGATGGGAGGAGGCCCAGAACTGGGAATTCCCCTAAAAAATCTTTTAAATAATTTTTTTAAAAACTATTTTACATAGTTCACTAATAACTTTGTAAAATTTTCATTGACAAATATTTGTCGATTTAAAATAAATATATATATGAAAGTGAGCAATCAATATAAACAGAGTGGAGAATTTACATTCTTTTGGACCAAAACAGAAATTATAGAACTCAGACTAGGCCATCTCCATCTGACGGGCCGTGCTGCTGATGTCACCAAACCGGGCTAATGATGCACTAAGTTTTTACTCTGACAGTCCCATTGTTTCGGTGTATTGCCTGCCGTCCCCCACAATAATTCTAGGAATAAGTTTGAGAATTAAACATATACGCAGTTACACACAATATGACAACACAGAAACATACAGAACAACAGAAACTACATACAATTATAGCTGCAGTATGTCCCATAATGTAGTCACATAATCTTCTCTGAATTTAAATTATTGAGTGAACTCAGCCAGTTTTCTTTTCTTGGATGATTAATCCAGCAAGGATGCATCATTCTGGAATTTCCTACAGTTATTCAGTAAAAATATTTGCCAGAGATGGCATCGCTTTGGAAGCAATGTTTACTTTAGAACAACCCTCGTTACAGACACCACCTATTTCATTATTGAAATATATGTGTAAACAGCATGAAACAATATGCATGAGCAATTTTTGTGTGATGTTTGCAGGATAGACATTTTGTACTTTATGTTTCTATGTTGTCATATTGTGTGTAACTATATATGTTAAATTTTTAAGCTTATTCCAAGAATTTTTGTTGGGGAAGACACACTGAAAAATGGGACAGTCAGAGTAAAAACTGAAAGTATCATTAGCCTGGTTTGGTGAAGTCAGCAGCATGGCCCATCAGATGGAGACGGTCTTGACTCAGATCATAAGTGCTGTGCCATCACTATGGGACTAACAGAGACTTAAGGCAAATTATGATATAAGAACCGATTGAAAGAAGAAGAAAAAACAATTTCTCACAACAAAACCCCCTAAATGCTATTTATAGTGAATATAATCACATCTGGCCAGCCTAAATGCAGTGCAGGTGCAAGCAAAATCAAAGCTGATAACTAGGCCTCGCAGGGACTGGCCAACGCAGCAAAGTTGATATAAAGGCTTCGCAGGCATTTATAACGGGCGGCTAACTATCAGCATCTTGGAGCGAAAGGTTTAACTAAAGTTGAATCACATGGCAGTATATGGTTAAGGAAATGAGACCACTGAAAGGGCAATTCTTCAACCTAACAGTACATAACTACAGATAACAAACCTGTGTCAATATCTGCTTTGCACTGCTAGAAATTCCAGTCCAATAAATGATGGGTAGCTGAGATAGAGCACACTCGGTCACTTGTTAGCCGAGACAGAGTGCACTCGGTCACTTGATAGCCGGGATAGAGTGCACTCAGTCACTTGATAGTCGAGACAGAATGTGCACTCTGTCACTTTACAGCCGAGATAGAGTGCACTCGGTCACTTGATAGCCGAGATAGAGTGCACTCAGTCACTTGATAGCCGAGATAGAGTGCACTGTTACTTGATAGCCGAGACAGAGTGCACTCAGTCACTTGATATGCTGTGACTGGCAGTGAGATTGTAAAGGTCCACTTTCTACACCTTCAAGCATACAATACTGCTCACTGTTCACATCACAGCATAATCAGCTTCTTCAGCCTTCACTCTTTTTTTTAGGGCAGATGGCATGTTGTGTTGTAGTTTACAGCTAGGCAGTGATATCTGCACTTTTCAGTCCAACACATTTAATTTCAGAAAAACCCTAGTTAGTTCCCTTTTAAGACATGTTTGTTAAGGGTTTGGGTGTTTACTATACTATTCCTTACCCAAAGATGGCATCCCAGAACCCATACGAGGATCTATACCCTCCACCAAAATGGGCCCCCTGAACCCACAAATAATGAGCAATGCTTTGATAAGCCTTATTTTTTTTAAAACATATGCACACTGATATGTGTAGCCGTATATCTGACACCCTGTGCACACATCCAAATGACCACAACAGGACTAGACAGACAAAATGACACAGTTGGTACGAGTTATGACATCGATGAGCAGGGCAGACCGGGAGAGCCCATCTGTGTCAGGACCCTGTCCAGCCACTGAAGTGGTCCGTTGAGGTGGATCTCGATCCAGCTGGGTGTGCTTGTGACTGTCTGACGCCTGTAAGTCAGAAAATGATTCCAGGGATGTGACAAATGATATTTAACTATTTCTATTTAAGAAAAAAAAAACATTAGACAAAGAATAACAAGTTCAACTGATTATATAAAAAACAATTTAAAAGAGAAAAAATAGCATTTCTTTAACTGTTATATAATAAACAATAGATTAGGCAGGGAGTAACATTTGTTAAGTTGTTAAATAGCATAAAATACATTAGACTTAGTGTAACATTTCTGTAACTATCTACATAACAAACAAGGCATTAGGAAGACAGTAACATTTCGCTTTGAGAACCGTCAAGCAGACTGGGCCCTGGGAGAAGCACTGGCATTTGGATCGCTGCTTAAGGAGGGAATCCATGTGAGACTGAGTGGACAGGATGTTGAGAGAGGTACTTTCAGGTATGTATAGGGTGTGGCACTGTCAGGTGTTTAGCAGATTTTATATTTAAAAAAAAATATTTCCTACATTTCAAACAAGTGTTATACTTGGACATTATCAAAGGTTAACCTATGTAAAATTAAAACCTGTGAAATGGGATCCTTAAGAAAAGCCACCAACTTAACTATCGAGACAAAGTTAGAAATGATATTATCAGGAACAACACCATGTAACAAATTCATTAAGAAACAGAAGATCAAATGGTTTGGTCATTCCTTAAGAATGCAGCCAGAACAACTACCAATGCAGGCGCTACGCATGAATGGATCTGAAGTGAAAGCAAGAGGCTGTCCTAGGAAAACATGGATTGATGACATTAAAGAGCTTCTACATCGACACAGAATGAAAGTAGCCATTGCTGCCGTCGAGCAGTGGATAGCAAACTGTTCCTCCCCAGAACGCTTAACGGCAGAAGTGGAAACAGATGATGATAGCAAGAAAGTGAAATATTTTTCTAACTTTTTACATAGCAAACAATACATTAGCCAGAGAATAAAATTTCTTTAACTTTTTACATAGCAAACAATACATTAGCCAGAGAAAAAAAAATTAACTTTTTACATAGCAAACAATACATTAGCCAGAGAAAAAAATTTCTTAAACTTTTTATATAACAAACAATATATTAACCAGAGAGTAACATTACTTTAATTCGTTATACAACAAATATATATCAGACAAAGAGTAACATTTCAGTAACACATCACATAACAAACAATAAAATAGAGCCAAGAGTGACATTTCTGAACTTGTTACATAACAAACAATATATCCGACAGAATAACATCAACTTTTGTATGAAATGTCCCTGTGTGGGTTCTGTGGCCCTATTATAGGGAACACAAGATCAGACCCACTGTCTGGGGGCTGAGTGAACTCAAAGTACGGTGTCCGCCTCGAGTGCTAGAGGTTCCTGGTTCAAGCCTCAGCGAAGGCTGGGATTTTTTCACATGGACTTCTAGTAATTTCCCCTGGTCTCTGGGTAGTAAGATCAGCTGCCCTTGTGTTTTCTTGCACATGTAAAAAAAATCGCTTGGCAGTTGAAAATCAAAAAGAGTAACCTAACGGTGCTGCCCTGGCAAAATCTGGAGTTTAAAATCAACCCAAGTATTCCAGGATCCTCCTGAGTGCAACTGAGTTGTGCATTGTGCTGGGATTCTTCAGACTCAGGCTTGAGTTAGAAGTAGAACGGAGAATCTGTGGTTTACACCCATGTGCCATGATGTTGATCCGTTTAATAAACAAAAACACAGACCCACTGCCTACCCAAAGCCAGTCGTAAGAGTCGACTAACTGGGAGCTTCCTGCGAAGTCAGAGTGCATCTGCCTGAGAGACAAGGAACCAATAGCCTGTATGCAAAGTTATGTCTGTAAAACAGATGCGCATGCAACACACAGGTTCTGGAGCAGGACTACAGTCCAGAAGTGGACGAAAAACCAGAACTTTCAGCCAGAGTTTACACCCTGCTGGTGAACAAGAAGAAGAAGAAGAAGAAGAAGAAGAAGAAGAAGATGAAGAAGAAGAAGAAGAAGAAAAAGAAGATGTAACAAATATATAAAAGAGTAATATTTCCAAGAATAAAGTAAACTGTATACGAGTGACAATAATGGGGAATACAACAGGGCTGAGATACAGTGACTCATTGTTGGAGAGATAAGACACATGAAGTGGCGTAACAAAGGAAGTGAGAAACAGCCATTCACAGTTGGACAGAAGTAAAGGAACCCTTTTCAGGTCTTCAGGCGCATTGGGCATATAGGGCTAGAACTATATTTTATAGACTAATTGGCGCTTGGTGAGTTATGTGGTCAGCATCACGCCAGCCGCCTTTACTTCCAAAGACTGCACCAGGTACCCATTCAAGGCTGGGTCGACCTGGGAGACAAGGTCATTTTTTTGTTAAATTCTGGCTCCATCAGGACCTGAACCTACAACCTTCCGATCCGCAGGCAAGCGTCTAGCCACTACACCACAGCCACCCCCAGATGGACAGAAGAAAGAAATAAAACCACACAGAAAAGAGTGAAGGTAGAGCTGGAGCAGGAGAAAAAGAGAAACGTTCCACCAACCTATACTCGGCACCCCAGCCTTTGACAAAGCTCATGCGAATGGTACACATGCGGGTCAGCTGGTAGACGGATTCGAACCCTTGGTTCACAGACTGGGCTAGCAGGGCAGCAAACTCTTGATTATTGAAGATTTTTAAGTTGCACCCTGTAACAAACAGCAATAGAAAATCATCACATGACAGCATTTCATCATGAAAGAATTTCATTGCATGACAGCACTTAATCGCATGACAGCATTTCATCACATGACAGTGTTTCATCATAAAAGAATTTCACTGCATGACAGCACTTCATTGTATGACAGTGTGATGAGGTGCTTTGCAGGTTTCCACGCTCACAGCAAGTCAAGCAGAAAATCTGTGCCACAAACGACCGCACAAGATACTTGGGTCTGGGAAGGTAAGCGAGGGAAAGTCCGAGGTTGGCTTGTGGTCAGTTGTGTACCAAAGTTGGAGGAGGGCAGTTTAGTTTAAATGAAACGTAGTAGACGCTGAGTAAATGAATATTGTGGCATATTTGTGGAAGTGAACAGCGATGAGTGTAATCGGGTAACTGTGATGGAATAGAAGAAATAAACTGGAAGAATGTATATGTAATTCGATTGCTGTTCCTGTGATGTCAATTGTTGAAAGCTGTATTTGTTCCAGAGTAAATGAGCCATATTAAAAGTGACCCAGCTTTCTTACAAGTGGGTGCTCGTCCGAGTGTGACAGGTCAGCATTTCCTGGCATGACAGCATTTCATTACATGACAGTTCTTTACCACAACAGCACTTCACCACCATTTCATCACACACCAACATTTCAGTGCACAGGAGTAATACACTGCATGACAGCTTTTTATACAGTAAAAGTATCAACAAAACATCATTATATCATTAGCATAAAACTGTCCTCACAAAACATTCTACTGCATTACTCTCTAACATCTTCTCATGCAATTTGTTGCTCTCCTTTTCTCTCTCATCATCACTCTCTCTTCCACGCACTGTCATTCATTCGCTAATCCGTTTTTACTTATTATATCTCTTTTGTACTAGCACAGCAACTCTACCTTTATCTCACTAACAATCTCAAATAATTCACATTTAATATTCCTCATCTCGTTCGGTGACTCTCACTTCACTCAATTGCTTCTCTCTTAGTCACTAACTCATTTATTTTCTCTCTCACCCACACTAAAAACATTTGTATGTTACTCACTCTAACTCCAATCTCTCATTCACACTCAACTTCATTCTATAATAACCACAAACACTCTTGGTTTGTTACTTTCACCCACTCCCATCTCACTTACACCCACTCTCAGCCTCTCATTAACACCCACTCCCTGTCCCTCTTTCCCACTTACTCCCTTACTCTCACCCACTACATGTCTCACTCCCACCCAGTCACAGCCTCTCTCACCAACTCCAAATCTTTCACATCCACTCTGAATTCTCTCACACCCACTCTGAAACTCTCTAACCCACTTCAAATCTCACACACAAAGAATTTCTAACCTCCACCCAATCCCAGTCCAGCTCACACATCCCTCCTTGCCAGACAGGCAATACTGTCACTCTCACACACCCCTCCTTGCCAGACATGCAGTACTGTCCCACTCACACATCTCTCACAAAGAACATCTCTCCTTTGCAATACTAACCCTCCTTGCCAGACCCAATCCCCTTGCCAGTCATGCAGCTCACACACATCTCTCCTTGCCAGACAGGCAATACTGTCACTCTCACACACCCCTCCTTGCCAGACATGCAGTACTGTCCCACTCACACATCCTCCTTGCCAGACATGCAGTACTGTCCCTCTCACACATCTCTCCTTGCCAGACATGCAGTACTGTCCCTCTCACACATCTCTCCTTGATAGACATGCAGTACTCTCACTCTCACACACCTCTCCTTGCCAGACATGCAATACTGTCACTCTCACACATCTCTCCTTGCCAGACATGCAGTACTGTCCCTCTCACACATCTCTCCTTGATAGACATGCAGTACTGTCCCTCACACACACATCTCCTTGCCAGACATGCAGTACTGTCCCTCTCACACATCTCTCCTTGCCAGACATGCAGTACTGTCCCTCTCACACATCTCTCCTTGCCAGACATGCAGTACTGTCCCTCTCACACATCTCTCCTTGATAGACATGCAGTACTGTCCCTCTCACACATCTCTCCTTGATAGACATCTCCTGCCTCCTTGAGACATGCAGTACTGTCCCTCTCACACACATCTCTTGCCAGACATGCAGTACTGTCCCTCTCACATGCCTTGCCAGACATGCAGTACCCCTCTCACACATCTCTCCTTGCCAGACATGCAGTTACTGTCCCTCTCATACATCTCTCCTTGACAGACATGCAGTACTGTCCCTCTCACACATCTCTCCTTGCCAGACATGCAGTACTGTCCCTCTCACACATCTCTCCTTGCCAGACATGCAGTACTGTCCCTCTCACACATCTCTCCTTGCCAGACATGCAGTACTGTCCCTCACACACACATCTGCTTGCCAGACATGCAGTACTGTCCCTCTCACACATCTCTCCTTGCCAGAGATGCAGTACTGTCCCTCTCACACATCTCTCCTTGCCAGACATGCAGTACTGTCCCTCTCACACATCTCTCCTTGCCAGACATGCAGTACTGTCCCTCTCACACATCTCTCCTTGCCAGACATGCAGTACTGTCCCTCTCACACATCTCTCCTTGCCAGACATGCAGTACTGTCCCTCTCACACATCTCTCCTTGCCAGACATGACGCACTGTTACTCTCACACTTTCCTCCTTGCAGCACCTACACTCACACATTCATTAGTACATCACAGACAAGAGCACAGCAAACCTGAAGATCTAACAATCAGCAGCACACTGTTTGTAAACATGCCCCACAGCTCCTCTCACACATTCCCCCTTTGTTAAACCCACACCCACGCATCCAGACCACACACACTTGCATTCTTACATCAAAGAGAACTAACCTGGAGGGATCTTACAGACAGTGGCAGGGTGCCAGCCATAGCGCTGGTTGCAGTTTGGGCTCTGAACAAAGACAGCACTATCACTGAGACACTCAGCAAATACCTCTCCCCCAATGTAATACAACCTCACTCCTCTTCCTGAGAACACAACACAATGTATGCTATTTAATCAATGCTCACATTTGCTTGTTTTAAACAAAGTAGTCTAAGCCTTGGGTAAACTAGAATAGCCTTAAACTGAAACCCACAGGCTAGAAGGAATAAAGGTAACCCCCCACCCTTTTCCCCCAATATGGAGAAGAAAAACATTTTAGGAAACTTAATGTTAAAATACATTAAGAGACAACAGATCAAAATGGTTCAGACATGTGTCAAGACTACCACAAGATAGTGTATTACAGAGAGTCCTACCAGCACAAAAAGAGAAAATAAAGGTCGACTAAGCAAGCGCTTAATGTCTGGAATATTTGAGGTCACGAATACTGGGGGCAGGGAGGTCAGCCTGTACATTTGTTTTATCTGTTGTGTATTCAGTTAAGTATAAATACTTCAATACAGTTTAAATCAAAGGTAAATAATCCCACAACTTATTGTTGATAGTCTGTAAATGAATAACAATGCTGAAGTTCTGAAGTTAGTTTAGGGAAAAGGTGTTTTAAAAAAAGAAAAATTAGTTCACAGGGAAGTCATAGATCCTAAATATGGTCTTTGGTGTAAATTGTTATTAGACGGTCAGGAAACTTTTGTGGATCAGAGCCGGTACGGTCAAACTAGACAAACCTATCAGCCTGCGAGTTAACGCAGCCTGTGAGTTAACGCAACCTGTTAGGTTCTGTTGTTAAATTAAAACAAGACAAATCTATTAGCCTGTGAGTGATCTCAACCTGTTGCATTCTGTTGTCAAGCTGGGTTCTGTTGTTAAATTACAACTAGTCATAACTATGTGCCTGCGAGTCATCTCAACCTGTTAAGTTCTGCTGTTAAGTTAAAACCAGACGAACCTATGTGCCTGCCAGTCATCACAACCTGTTGAGTTCTAATGTTAAGTTAAAACCAGACGAACCTATGTGCCTGCGAGTCATCTCAACCTGTTAAGTTCTAATGTTAAGTTAAAACCAGACGAACCTATGTGCCTGCAAGTCATCACAACCTGTTAAGTTCTAATGTTAAGTTAAAACCAGACGAACCTATGTGCCTGCGAGTCATCACAACCTGTTAAGTTCTAATGTTAAGTTAAAACCAGACGAACCTATGTGCCTGCGAGTCATCACAACCTGTCAAGTTCTAATGTTAAGTTAAAACCAGACAAACCTATGTGCCTGCTAGTGATCTCAACCTGTTAAGTTCTAATGTTAAGTTAAAACCAGACAAACCTATGTGCCTGCTAGTGATTGTTGTAATCTTATAGTCCAAGAGTTAAAGTTTCTTCTAGTTTCTTCTAGTGGTCATAGCGCAGGTGAAAGGTTCACACAGCGGCCACCGGTCGGGTCTGTTACCTGGGATACCAGCTAATTGAATGCTGGGTGATTAACACAAAGGCTCCTGCAGAACACAAAGGATTCGGCAGTTGAGATATTTCCATTGTCCAAGTCGGACGTGTTTCCGCGGGGTTAGCGGAAACTGTGTTGGCTCTCTGTATGAGGATATTATAGAAACGTTTTCTCTTTGTGAGGTTTTGATTTACCGTTGTTTTGCGGGAGACAGTTCAATGTCTATTTACTTATTTTAATGGCAGGAGCCCATTGAGAAAAGCTGCTGTAATCTTTTATATCATCAGAATAGATAATGGAGATTTATTATCGTACATGTTTTATTGAATAATCATCATCATCTTGTGACGTGTAACTTTAATGCCATTAAAGTTTATGTGGCCTGTCACAAGCGTTATTGTTGGCTTGTAAAGGTAGCGACTGTATTACATGATGCTGTGTCGGTGCCAAGTGTGCCAGTTATAGAATGCAGGACTTCACTGTAGCACATCCATCAAGGAGATATCCAGCGGAATACTAGAATAGGCACCCTAGGCCTAAATACTTGGTTGAATATAAAGTATACAAAAGAATGTACAAATTAAGTGTACAACAGTGGATGGCCAAGCCGGTCCTTTGATGGATTTATAAAACAGTGTTGATTTACCCAGTGTTTGTGCTACTGACTGATGATCGTTTGAACGAATACATATAAACTGTTCTACATAAAGTTATAAATTAACGGATCCTGAAAGGAGTTATAAACTATTTTTTTAAAGTGTATGCAGTGCTAACGAGTGTTTCTAGCAGCTTTACGAACTTATCGGACATAGGTGAACTAACAGTAGGCCTTAATTGATTTACAGCTGTATAAAGTGCTGGTGACATTAGCAGTGTTATTTGACTCTATAGAATTACTCGTTTTTTTCGGCCGTAATTGACATTCTTCAACGGAGTTCAGCAGTGGATGCTTGAGTTTCGCATCATTACTACTAGGTCCCTGTTCACAGTACGTCGCCTAAGGATCGCAGTACGTCGCCTAAGGATCGCAGTACGTCGCCTAAGGATCGCAGTACGACGCCTGAGGATCGCAGTACGACGCCTGAGGATCGCAATGCTTCAAATGTCGCACTGGGAGCAGTAATTTCCCAAATGTACGATGGGACTTTACATCCTTGCCTCTATGCAAGTCGCAAATTGTCCGACACTGAAACACGCTATAGTGTCGGAGAGAGAGAAGCACTGGGAATTTACTGGTCCATCGCTAAATTCTCCAGGTACCTAATAGGGAGAACGTTTTATGTAATTACAGACCACAAGTCACTTGCTGTTTTGAACACAGGGTCTGTAACAAATGCCCGTATTCTTCGTTGGACATTGTTTCTTCAGACTTTTAACTATACCATCATCTACCGGAGTGGTAAGGAGAACGTACTTGCTGACTATTTGTCCAGATTTCCTTGTACATCATGAGACAATCAGTTCCTTTTCACATTGGAGTTTTTTATACCTCACTACACTGCAATGGATGCTTATATATTGGTATCAACATACTTTATCCAGATATGTATATTTCAAGGACATACCTATGAGAAGTGTTTAGTTAGTTAATTTCTCAAGTGTTTTGGACAGATGATTCCATTTATTGGGATTGACAGTAATTATGATATGTGGATTTAGCTTATGAGTTATTAGTGAACCAGTTATGATATTATATTGTATTTCTTGTTGTTATTTCATGTCTTATAACTAAAAGTTTATCATCATTTTATTTACATGCATTCTTATTATAACAAAAGTTATCATCATTTCGTTTACATGCATTCTCACTTAACTACATGTGGATTTCACTAGGTATATTCGAATATAAGTTGTCTAGATGACTACAACAGAGTTAAAATTATGCAACTGAAAACATAGATTTTCAGTTTGTGAGAGGGGGGGATAAGCTGTTGTAATCTTATAGTCCAAGAGTTAAAGTTTCTTCTAGTTTCTTCTAGTGGTCATAGCGCAGGTGAAAGGTTCACACAGCGGCCACCGGTCGGGTCTGTTACCTGGGATACCAGCTAATTGAATGCTGGGTGATTAACACAAAGGCTCCTGCAGAACACAAAGGATTCGGCAGTTGAGATATTTCCATTGTCCAAGTCGGACGTGTTTCCGCGGGGTTAGCGGAAACTGTGTTGGCTCTCTGTATGAGGATATTATAGAAACGTTTTCTCTTTGTGAGGTTTTGATTTACCGTTGTTTGCGGGAGACAGTTCAATGTCTATTTACTTATTTTAATGGCAGGAGCCCATTGAGAAAAGCTGCTGTAATCTTTTATATCATCAGAATAGATAATGGAGATTTATTATCGTACATGTTTTATTGAATAATCATCATCATCTTGTGACGTGTAACTTTAATGCCATTAAAGTTTATGTGGCCTGTCACAAGCGTTATTGTTGGCTTGTAAAGGTAGCGACTGTATTACATGATGCTGTGTCGGTGCCAAGTGTGCCAGTTATAGAATGCAGGACTTCACTGTAGCACATCCATCAAGGAGATATCCAGCGGAATACTAGAATAGGCACCCTAGGCCTAAATACTTGGTTGAATATAAAGTATACAAAAGAATGTACAAATTAAGTGTACAACAGTGATCTCAACCTGTTAAGTTCTAATGTTAAGTTAAAACCAGACAAACCTATGTGCCTGCTAGTGATCTCAACCTGTCAAGTTCTAATGTTAAGTTAAAACCAGACGAACCTATGTGCCTGCGAGTCATCTCAACTTGCTGAGTTCTGTTGACGTTGGATAACAAGCCCAGACAAAACCTCTCCGAGTTGCTGGGGTCTGTGAAGCCGTCTACTGTCAGCGAAGGCTGCGAGGCCTGGAAGGTTTCTCCGACCCTCATGTTCAGCTCATAATACGCGATGGAGCACCAGTATTCTGGTTCCTTGTAGGTTACAGGCTGCAGCTCTGCACTGTTGTCTGAAAGTGAAAAAGCAACACAAATCCATTAACTCCTTGGATGGTAATAGGTAGATGGAACTACAGGGGATAATTAAGGATGGGGGGAGTTTGGTATGAGACATCTGAAGACCTACACTCAAAAACGAACTAAAAAGTTAGTGGAAAAAAAAACACATGTAGGAGCAAGAGTAGAATGGAAGAAAGCAAAGAAAAGAAATTCAGTACATTAATACTGTTTTAACAACCGTCTATAGTTAGGTTTTTCTTTTTTAAAGAAAACAAACAATAATATGAGAAAGATCAGTTTTATAAAAACATTTATAAAAATAGAGAAAGATCAGATTTATAAAAATGCAGAAAAATATAAAGATATTATTTATAAAAACATATACAAAGATAACTGATGAGACTTTATCCAGCTCTCTTCCTGTCCAGTCTGCTAATTAACTCTTTTCTGTATTTGTCTTGCGCTTCTCGGGTGGCTTAGGTGGTTCATCTTTTTGCAGGTTTTAGCTACATCATATATCCATCTTTTTTTTGTTTGTGTGTGTGATCTTTCCCTAGCCTTCCCCACAGATTTTCTGTAAAAAAAATATTCGCAGTTTGGTCTAGCTGCATTTTCATTAGATAGCCGAACCAATTCATTCTTTGTCTGTCAATATAATCCAGACACAGTCTAATTCCAACTTTCTCTCTTTTGCTGATATTCGTAACCCTATCCCTTCTTGTGCTATTAGGTTATTAGTGACCTACAGAGGTAGCATATTTTACAAGCAGATATTTTATGTTCTAGTGCCTTATTCACTGTCCATATTTGGCACTGATAGCATAAAGTAAGGATGAAGATGCTATTAATAATTTGCTGTTTTGCTGGATGGGAGAATCTGGGTATCTAAGCAGTAGGGCTAACTGCTAGATGACAGCATTTACCTTCTGTACTCTGGCTTCTATATCTCCGTCATTTACTTCTGTAAATGTTCTTCCTAGATATTTGAATTCTCCTATTTATTGTTTATGTTTATTCAAGAGATCAACATCATGGCACACAGGTGTAGCCCATAAGTGCTCTGTTCTACTTTTAACTCAAGCCTGAGCCTGAAGAATCTCAGCACAGTGCAGGAATTCCATTGCACCACCAAGGATCCTGAAATACTTTGAGATTTTAAACTTCAAATTCAACACCGTTAGGCTACTCTTTTTCGATTTACAACTGCCAAGGAATTCTCATGTGCGCAACAATACATACAGGCCTCCGGTCTTACTACCCAGAGACCAGGGGAAATTACTAGAAGTTTTAGTGACAAAAATCCGAGACTTCACCGGGGTTTAAACATGGGATCTCCAGCACTCTAGGCAGATGCCACACCTCATGACCACTCAACCCTCAGAATTGTCGTATTTGTTTGATTTTAGTATATTAACATGAATATTCATGTTTTTATGTTTCCTGCCGATTCTCATTATTTAAGGTTTTGAAATGTTTATTCTCATATCACACTTTGTGCAGGTTTGATGTAAAGAGTCAGTATGGTGTTGAAAATTATGTTCTTTGCATGAGATTAGAAACTAATTGTCTGCACACACAAAAAGTGTACTGATTTCTTCAGTGTCTGAATTTGCCCCCTGTGTTATATCCATGTAAGTGATTAATAGCAACGGTGAGAGGACACATCCCTGTCTGACACCTGATGAGATGGGGATCCAATCTGTCATCCCTTCTGTTGTTCTTACTGTATTCTCCTCATGCCAAAAATAACTTGACAGTCTGTGCCTAATTTCACCTCCTCCAGTGGTTCTCAGCCTTCCTAATCATGTGACCCTTTGATGCAATTCCTCATGTTGTGACCGACCTTTAATGCAGTTCCTCATGTTGTGACAACCCTTTAATGCAGTTCCTCATGCTGTGACAACCCTTTGATGCAATTCCTCATGTTGTGACCACCCTTTAACGCAGTTCCTCATTTTGTGACGACCTTTAACGCAGTTCCTCATGTTGTGATGACCCTTTAATGCAGTTCCTCATTTTGTGACGACCTTTAATGCAGTTCCTCATGTTGTGACGACCCTTTAATGCAATTCCTCATGTTGTGATGACCCTTTAATACAGTTCCTCATGTTGTGACGACCCTTTAATACAGTTCCTCATGTTGTGATGACCCTTTAATACAGTTCCTCATGTTGTGATGATGCCCTGCATACAGTTCCTCATGTTGTGATGATGATGCCCTGCATACAGTTCCTCATGTTGTGATGATGATGCCCTGCATACAGTTCCTCATGTTGTGATGATGCCCTGCATACAGTTCCTCATGTTGTGATGATGCCCTGCATACAGTTCCTCATGTTGTGAGGATGCCCTGCATTCAGTTCCTCATGTTGTGAGGATGCCCTGCATACAGTTCCTCATGTTGTGAGGATGCCCTGCCTCTAGTTCCTCATGTTGTGGTGATGCCCTGCATACAGTTCCTCATGTTGTGATGATGCCCTGCATACAGTTCCTCATGTTGTGATGATGCCCTGCATACAGTTCCTCATGTTGTGATGATGCCCTGCATTCAGTTCCTCATGTTGTGAGGATGCCCTGCATTCAGTTCCTCATGTTGTGAGGATGCCCTGCATACAGTTCCTCATGTTGTGAGGATGCCCTGCATAAAGTTCCTCATGTTGTGGTGACCTCCCAAAAATAAAATTATTATTAGTGCTACTTCCTAACTTCAGTGACCCCTGTGAAAGGGTCTTTCGACTCCCAAAGGGGTCCCGACCCACAGGTTCAATTGAAATCAATTTAAAGCAGTTCTTCCCAAACATTTCTTAGTCGCGGCACCTTTTTTCAACCAACATTTTTCTCACGGCGCCCTACTTAAGTAAAAGTATGACTATTTGTATGTAAGAGTTTAAAAGTAAAATAAAACTTGTGCATCTTCTAATATTTCGCGGCGTCCCTGTGAAAAAGTTGTGGCTCCGCGGGGTGCAGTTTTGGAATCACTGGTTTAAAGTGTTTATGTTTCTTTAAAGACTGCCCCATACGTTGTGTCTTACCCACTTATGGTATTCATTGCGCTGTTCTTAGAAACCACATTTCTGCTGGTATTACAGATTGCATGGTTCGTCTGCTTAAGTTTCCATTGTATAAAAGCACAGGTTTTTAATCAGTATTTTATCCACTTTTCCTATTGCAATTGACAGTTTATGCACTTACCTAAATGTGGATTTGGTGACATGTCTATGCCATCTGAAATGGGAAAACAAAAAACATAAAAGGGTTAAACTATTTTGATAAGTATTCAGATTAGTTTTAAAAAAAAAAATTGCTCCTCAGCTTATGATAATGTAACACATTACCATAAAAATTAAAGAAAGAAAAATAGCAAAGAAAATTACAATGGTAGGGTTAAACATTTCCAAGAACTAATGCAACAGAGTACTATGCATTTTTTTACATTGTGTAAAATAAATATATGTATACAGATAAAATTGTTGTATTTTACACATAATTTGTATAACCTGTTTGAATGAAAATAGTGTTAAAAAATATAAATTTGACCTATGACCAGTTAGACTTTAATTTTAATATACTAGAGACAGAGAATTTACATTATTCTTCTCCTTCACTTCCTTTTTTTTTTAAAAACCAATTTGGGTGTCAAGGGGGATATAAGGTTCTGCTTCATGCTCTTTTGGTTGCCCCAACATTGTGCTGTTGTAGAGTTTCTCTTGACATATCATTCCATATTTTTCTTGGTCTACCTCATGCTCTTCTAATGTATGACAAGCTAGACGTTTTGAAGGCCCATTGAGAGCGAGTGAACAGTGCAGAGGCACAGAGATAATTATGGTCTGAGGAGAATGGCGCTGGGGGGAGTTACCAGGGAATCTGGCCAACGCTCAACACTCAAGGGAAAGGCGAGGCAGATGTACAATCTGGTACAATCGGAATTGAAATTCACTTGCTGCTGAAGATGAGGATGGAGCGTTCATAGGAGTGTCCTGAGTGCTGTGATGTCGATTCTTAATTCAACATTCAATGCTCTTTGTCCATCTCTTTTGTTCCTTATGACTGTCCATGTCTCCTGGTTCCTTAGACTGTCCATGTCTCCTTAGACTGTCCATGTCTCCTGGTTCCTTAGACTGTTCATGTCTCCTTAGACTGTCCATGTCTCCTTAGACTGTCCATGTCTCCTGGTTCCTTAGACTGTCCATGTCTCCTTAGACTGTCCATGTCTCCTAAGACTGTCCATGTCTCTTTAGACTGTCCATGTCTCCTTAGACTGTCCATGTCTCCTTAGACTGTCCATGTCTCCTGGTTCCTTAGACTGTCCATGTCTCCTGGTTCCTTAGACTGTCCATGTCTCCTGGTTCCTTAGACTGTCCATGTCTCCTGGTTCCTTAGACTGCCCATGTCTCCTGGTTCCTTAGACTGTCCATGTCTCCTGGTTCCTTAGACTGTCCATGTCTCCTGGTTCCTTAGACTGTCCATGTCTCCTGGTTCCTTAGACTGTCCATGTCTCCTGGTTCCTTAGACTGCCCATGTCTCCTGGTTCCTTAGACTGTCCATGTCTCCTGGTTCCTTAGACTGTCCATGTCTCCTGGTTCCTTAGACTGTCCATGTCTCCTGGTTCCTTAGACTGTCCATGTCTCCTGGTTCCTTAGACTGTCCATGTCTCCTGGTTCCTTAGACTGGCCATGTCTCCTTGTTCCCTCAGCCATCCACCAGAAAGCTGTCACTGACAAAGTGTCATGAGGAATTCTGCAAGCATGTCTAAAGTATCACTATCTTCTTCCTTTAATAATGTTTGCCAGGGAATAACATTTTGTTCTCCTTCTCAGTTCTTCCTTTCTTGATTTTTCTGACCAAAATAATTCAGGATTCTCCTTATACATTTTAAAAGTCCCTAATTTATTTGTAATAAACCTGTCGTCATTTTTAACAATCACTGTTCTACAGCGGTATTCTTAAGATGTCACTGTTATGTATCTGAGTTTTGTCTTTAAACTAAGTTCCTTTGACTTCCATATACTGTTAAGCATTAAAAATGCTTAGTTTGTAATGCCTAATATACAAGGATAAAAAAAGAGAGAGTCATAGGCCCAAGGTAGACCAAAAATATGGTGGAAAGATAACATCAAGGAAATTACAACAGTATCCAGTTGCTGAGACATGTCTTTCGCATGAAGATGGGTTAAATTCTAAGGATCTGCTGTATGGTGGGCTGGTCACATGGAAAATATCTGCAAGAAGGCCAAGGCTACATACGCTAAAAGGACATAAGCAAACATGACCTGAAAGATACCAACACTGACAGAGAACTGAACAGATCTGCTGCAGACTGACATATATGGAGGCAGACAGTGAAAGACAGACTGCCGCAGTTTGAAAGAGGTCAAACACAACAAGCTATAGATAGGAGACGTCTGAGAGACAACCAGCCTCAGAATAATAAAGTATCAACTTTCTTATGTGGATTATGTTACACAGACTGCCACTCCTGCACTGGACTCGGTCACAGTAGCCGCTGATCCTAAAACCTGCGGCACAGCTTTAAAGTCTCTAGGACAGTAATTCCCAAATGTGCGCCGCGGCACCCCTAAAAGCCGCGACCTCTTCACAGGGGCGCCGCAAAATATTCAAAGATACACAAGTTTTTTTTTTTTAAATCTCTTACACAGGAATAGCCATACTTTTACTTAGGTTAGGGCGCTGTGGAAAAATTGTAATTATAAAAATGCGCAGCGACTAAGAAAAGTTTGGGAATCACTACTCTAGGGACTGATGGTTGCCTACTAAATCAAGTATGTATAGCTAAGGCAGTCAGAGGAGCAAGAACTAGAAACCTGTATGTCCCTTGACACTGAAACTGGTAAAAGAGGAAATAGTAGAAAAAGTAGTGACATAGCGGCTGGTGCATTTGTCTGCCACGACAGTGGTCTGGCTTATTTCCCCAACAGGAGCAAGAACATTTTTTTGACCAGTACGGCCCTGAGCTTGACTCACCCTCATAAACATGGGCAACAAACTATGTTCTTAATGTTTTGGAAACTGTCTGTGAAGAAAAGGGGACAGGGAAGGGAACTGACTGATTCACTTCATATACCATCACCCAGAAAGTGTTAAGACTTATTGCTTCATACATTAAATGCTGTACCAGCTATACAACGGCACTTACTACTTGTGCACATTTTTCTTGGTTCTTTACATTCCCCTCTGGCTTTTCAAATGATAGACATGAGAATTCTGCATTTATTACTGTCCTTGCTGCCCTTATTTTACTACACATCAGGGCTGTGGAAGACAAAATGAGAATGGGGGCGGGTGTGTCTTCAGCTTTAAAAAATTTAAGTGCAGTCATTTCAAGCTATGCAGGTCAGCTCATGTGAGTTTATCTTTTGCCCCCTGCAGAAAATTTCCAATTTAACATAGGATTCAAATCTGGGTCTCTCGAAAAAGAGCCTAACATACTAACCACACAGCCAGATGCTCCTCATTGATTACAAGTAAGAAATAAACAAACAGCACAAAGGTACAAGAAAAGAAGATGATAAGTTATCCTACCCATTCCTTGACTGTCTGTGGTATCGCCTTCTTCACTGAGATACCCCGGCGATGGGGTATCTGAAAACAAAAATAAACAATAAGTACAATATTTAAACATAAAATATTTAAATATTAAAGCCATCATTTCCTACTATAAATCTCGACAAAGAAGAAACAAACAATGCACAATGTATGCTGTATCTTGTCAAGTTGTTCTCTACAAAAAATTTAATATTATAAAGCAAATAAATTAATATTTCCAACTGAAACAGAAAAAAAAAACACCCCAAAAGTAACTGTAACCAGGACAAACACAGGTTCATGACCGTGTCTTTTTGTCTGCAAAGGTCTTTTGAACTTGGGCAACATTAGGAACAAAGATAGCGTATTTCGAATTCTGTTAACACCAAAAAAATCAGAGAATGCTACATTTCAATGAAGACATGACAATAAATTACTTCTGTTCACATTTGTATATGGCCAAACCATCTAGCTATTTATCTATTTTGTCTTTTTTGTTTTCAATCAGGTGTCTCTATTATCACTTAGTATTTAAGTTGATTTTTTTCTCATCACATGCCCCAACAAATGTTGAATGACTACTTTTTCTAATTAGTTTAGTTTTCATGTTTCTTGAACAACTGTCTCATTCAATTTTTGCTAGTCTATGAAATTCTTTTCATTTTCCTCGAAAAACCATATATATTTTTTTTGCTAGAGCGCAGGGCTCTTTAACTAAGCTGACTCAGGGGCCACAATATTAAAAATGGGGATCGTTTTGCCAGAGGCTCCAGCATAGACAGATCAATACAACTGTCAAAGATCCGTGGGTCTTTGCTTAGACCTCTGCAGGCCGCTAGTTGGTAACCCTGCCATAAGGTGTCTCAGGCTTCTCTATTTTTGCTGTGGTTTTCTTTTAACCAGTCTAAATAACCAGATAAGACATCAAAATAATGTACCATGCAGGACAGGGTAAGACATGTTATTTCAACAGCAAGCTGATTTTTTTTTTTTTTTAAATTCAACAACTGATAGTCTCACATGCCTCTCTTGCAAATCCATATCCCCCCATGCCTCTTTTGCAAGTCCATAACCCCCCATGCCTCTCTTGAAAGTCCATATCCCCCATGCTTCTCTTGCAAATCCATATCCCCCCATGCCCCTCTTGCAAGTCCATATCCCCCCCCATGCCCCGCTTGCAAGTCCATATCCCCCCCCCCCACATGCCCCTCTTGCAAGTCCATATCCTCCCATGCCTTTCTTGCAAGTCCATATCCCCCAACACTGATTAATTAAACAGGAAAAGTGCAAGCAATAATTCTTCTTCTTCTTCTTGTTCACCGGCTGTGAATTCTGGCAGAAAGTCCTGGCTTTTGGCTTTGTACCAGGACCTGAGTTTTGCGTGGACATCCGTTTTACTTGCCTATTTGTGTGCAGTGATTGTTCCCTGCCTCTCGGGCATATGTACTCCAACTTTGAAGGAAGATGAGATCCTATCTATAGGACAACTGTGGGACTGAGACTCGAGAGTGTTGTGTGCTAAATGAGTTACCTCTAGTCAGCACACTACCAAGTGTCTAGCAGGTACTCTTCAGCTTCCTCTCTTAGAAATAGAACTCGACGACAATGACAACATTTTATTTAACAGGACACATGACACAAATGCAAAGACGTAGTTATTGATCATCTCTTTCCGTCCCCTGACTGCTTCTTGGTTGCCTCTCCGAGTGGCTACTCAGCCCTCCAATTTATCCCCCTCAAATCCGTGTAGGTGGATGATGATTACACGAGAGGCACGCTTGTATGGGCGTTCTCGTGACTCATGATCCTGTGGGTGTTCTCGGGACTCACGCTCATGTGGGCGTTCTCGAGGATCACACTTATGTGGGTGACTGATGTTACCTGAGAATCATGCTGTCACTTAATTCACACTTTCACTGTTTATCTTGTTAGCCATGCTTTCAGTCCCCCACACAGTAACCCACGCGTCCACTTTCTCTCGTGCGTGCACACCTTGTTCATGAATAGACATTCTCACTGGTCTCCTCTCAATACTCGGACGATGTTGACACTATTCCCCCTGTGAACTTACAGAAAGTACTGGCATACCACTGTCCCTTCACACAATATCACACTTTACCCAAATCAGCGCGCAACAGAGAGGCAGGGGGTAAGAAGTGTTGGTGTTGTGGGTAGTGGTTTTCCCCCTTCTTCACCCTAGGTCTTGTGAATATCTATTCATGAAAAGAGCGTCCATTGCGGTGTCAGCCTCTTGACCTAGCATAACCTCTCTTACCTCAAGACCATTGTGAGTGGCCAAGAGTCACAGCCTCCCTGAGGTAGTCCTGGCAACTGGGGGTGCAAATCCCCAGGCAAAACACAATGGATCTAGAGGATCAAACCTTGATAATAAACCTGGTGCACCACACCGTACCTCCCCCCTGTGGGAGGGAAGGAGCTGGAGGTGTTCTGAACAGTCTTAGGAATGGAAACAAGTATGCTAACCCCCCTGAATACCGGAAACTATCGAGAAGGCACAGGAACTCAGGACGTGACGATCTAGTTGCCCCAATTACTCATGCTTAGGCCATGAAAAGCTCAGCGAAACCAGCAGGCAATCTGGTGGCGGGAAATGAGCACACTGTGAGCCCCACCTTAGCTATGTGTTAAAGGGGAAGGCAGAAACACAATCCATACTTCCTTTAGAACTGGTACAGGGCATTTCTAGTTGCTACCCGGGGAGGTAGGTAATCAACAGACACCCGAGCACCACAATGCCATGAATATGGTCAATGGTCAGCGTGACGATTGTTTTGTAGGACATGATGCTGCCTCATTTGTGTAGTGTCCTCTTTGTCTCTCTCTACAGATGTTGCCCACGGAGAACCCCTTTAGGGCAACCGTGTGAAGACTGAATAGCCCTCAAGGGAAGGCAGGAGCAGATCATGGGCATTTCCCACCATCCAAGGAGGCTTCTAAAAATCCGACACATGATGCGCTGGTTCTGGGCTCACCCGAGGAATCGTCACATTCTGCACATGACTGCTTAACCTCACAACGGAATGCTGAGCTTTTCACCCGTCATGGGCTGCACCCTCTGGAAATCAGCAGGGAGCAGCCCGCAGGTCCAGGACTCAGATGACAATACAAATAGGTACATTCTTCATCACGTTAGACACCTTCAACGTTGGATCAATTGTGCGTTTAGCACTGCAGTATGGAGAGGCATGGCATGACCTGTTTTGTCCCAATACTTGGGCAAGTGGGCCGATGGATACGGACATTTGAACCTTTCAGCCAATTAGTAGGATTCCTGACAGTCGGACATTGAGACTTAACTTGTGTGCTATAGGATGTTTCTTTGTCGGGCATTTGAGCCTACCTAGAAGGCTAATAGTGGCTGTAATGGTGTACCTCAAACCGGGTGACGACGAGGTTGCAGTTGACGTATGTAGACTGCATTTTACCGCATGAAACCGCCCACAGGAGATATTACACGTCTAAGTTGCGGGTAAATCTCTTGGTCAAGGGCTAAGTCTTGGCAGTTCAGTTTTTCTTTCTCTCGACAGACTTTCAAATTAAAGAAAGGGCCCTTGACTCACCTGCAGTGTTGAAGGCGGTGTCATTGATACTGCTGCTGGTGGGGAGATCCGTGTTTTCGGGTATGGTGTTGCTGTAGTCCTCAAGAATGGGGAAATTGTCCGGGATCTCTGTGTGCCTCCGCACAAGTACCTGCGGCAAAGCTGTTCAAGAAGAGGAGACATGTACCATTAGTGTCTCAGTAAAGCAAATCCACTGACAGGCTCTTGAGGTTTACTGTGAAAATATTGTTGAGTTCATAACATATATATATATACTAAAACCACTTTATCTTCCCTCCTTCCTCTCTCTTCCTCAGTCCCCTTCCTCTGTGTGTGTGTGTGTGCATGTGTTACTTGTGCAAATTAACTGAAACACACAGCAAACAACGAGAATTTAATTTTTTTTTAATTGTCATAACAAATTTCCCTAATAGTCAACAAATGGCATGAGTGACAATGCTTCTACAGATCTTGTAATTTCCAACAGCATGGGTACTAATGCCAAAACAAAAGGATGTCAAGAACCTTCTGGTCTTCCTCTGCCTATACTTCCACAAATCTTTCCAGCTGACACAAAACTTTCTTCTCCCCATGTTTCTGATTGAAACATTTGTAATAAGCTCTATCCTCTTTCAAAACATTACTTCCTTACTCTGTTATGGTTCAGGGGCCCATTTTAGGAGAAACAAAGAACAGATTCACAACCTCTCAACAGGCATGTCATAGAAGAAGACTAATAATGAAATTACTGAAATCGAATGTGCTGGGCTGAAAGGTGCAGATATCACAGCCTAGCTGTGTGAACCATAACAAAACATGCCACCAAACTTTTAAGGACGCACAAAGAAGAAGAACAATGTCCAGGAATGTTAAGGTTTCTTCAGTTAAACCAAATCACTGAGGCTTTAAGGATTTTCTATTTGTTTACTGTTAGGAAGAAGAAAAAAACGATAAACTAGTCCATGGTGACAGCACTAGCCAAGCAGTCCAAAATCCTTAGGGACATCCTTGCTACACTGCAAAGCTGGTAAAATACAAGCAGTACTGGCAGTTGACTAACTTCTTAACCAACCAGGATTCACATCCATCTGTTAAAACTTAATTCTTCTTCTTTGTGCTCTATGCTTGTTTTCCCAACGATGGGGCCATGAAACCCATGCATAGATAAAACTAATTCTATGTAGCAATCAAAAAAAAGTTTTTTGGTAGAATCCAAAGACAAGGATTTTTAAAATTTTTAAAACGTAGTTTTCAAATGTTTCATTTATTATCACCATGACACACCTCCCAGATACATTCTGTCTACATGCTAAAGTAGAAAACCTATTCACGACGTTGTGAAGGCTCTTCATAATTCCAAGTGCCCCGTCTGATTACAGCTGCAGGCAATTTGGTAGCAGACCGCCTTGCGTTGGTTTTGACAGAGATATCAAGAGTGGACTGATCAGAAACCAAGGCAAACTACTAAACGTAAAATTGCCGAGTGAAATCACAAACTGCAATTTTAAAAATGCTGCCGCTGGTTCTGCAAAATCCAGGTAAGGAGTATGCAACGAACCTATAAAGTATACTAGAAACTTGCCTTCCAGTTTGATGGTCCTGAGATCAAAACTGCATTAAGGAAAATTGCTGACCCAGCCTAATTCATGTACAAATGTCCTGGTAAAGTAAAGGCGAACGGCATGATGCTGACCACATCACCCCCTGAGTGCCAACTAGTCTGTACAAATATGACTCAGCATCACACGCTCAATGAGCCAGCAGCAAGAATATAGGGAGCCACCATGGGGTGGTGGCTAGACGCTTGCCTGCGGATTTCGAAAAGAGCCCTTTTCCAATAAAATGGTCTTTTTTCCCCAGGTTGACCCAGCCTCAAATAGGTACTAGGTAAAGTGGTGGGATGTTAAACTGGCCGACCGGATATTGACCACAAGTGCCAAATGGTCAATAAAATATCAGCCTAGCCCTATATGCCAAAGAAGCCTGAGAAAATGTGGGGGGGGGGGGGGGGGTCCTTTACTTTACTGACAGTGCATTGGATAGGCAAGACAGGACAGGACAGGACAGGAGGCCGACTTACCGACGTCAACCCTCGTGTAGTGGTATGGGTTGACACAGACCTCGTCTTTCTTCAGGTGAAAGGCGTACTCACAACGGTCCCCAGGCAGCAGCTCCTGGTGGTTCTGTAAGTCAGGCCAGCGCCAGAGTCTGCAGTAAATCACATGTGGGAGACCCTTGCGATGGAAAACCTGCAGTCTGCCGTCCAGAGACCTGAAATTATCAGCAAACCGGGTTAACAATGAAAAATTCTACAAGAAAGTAAATGGAACTTCACTAAAACAATTCATGTGGAGATATTGTCCGGGATATGCAGGAGAGCGAAGGAATGAAGAGCGGATTTTCAGGCTGTAAAAGTAATAGCTTCAGGAACACCTGTACTGGCTGAAAGAGGAGACATTCTGAGGACCATTTATGAATGAATGCTGGTACAAGAGATGAGGTTAAATTACACAGCATGCGTGTAAATGAGAAATTAGGTGTAGATTTGTCAAGGAGGGAAGAATGAGAGAAAGAGAATGACATGTTTATAATCAGTGTTCTATGGAAATATTTTGCATCTACATCAAAAGACATCTGCTGCAGAAGACAGAGCATCTATGAGTATGCATGCTGTGCTATCATGTCGATTATTAAATCAGTAAATCAGCAAAACAATTCAAAATATTTAAGTACTTGGCTGCCCTGGCATAGAAGGTGAAAAATCTGTTAGTAAAGAAGTTAAATGTAGACTGGCAAAAGCTGAATTCTGAAGAAAAAAAAATATCCTGTGCAATCTACCTTTGTCAACGGAAATAACAAATATGTGTTCTTAAGAACTGTCAGTATAATCAGTGCTGACTTTATTAATCATCATATGTTGTGCAAATATGAACAGGCTGCCATATTTTGCCATCTCAAACGATCATCAGTCACGGATCAGGATAATGATCTTAGTGTTCTTGTCTTACCCATCCATTTATCTAAGCCATCCAAGTATTTATCTTTCTGCCCCTCTTGCTCCATTTCCATCAATATTGCCAGTCATTACCAAGTTCTCCAGTCCGTTCCTTCTCATTGCATGTCAGAAAATCCTGGCTTACAAAAGTGAATTATGGACACTGCAGAAAGGTAGTTTTGTAGATGTTTGAGGTTCTGACAAAGGAACAACATCATGGCACACGGGTAGTAACCCATAAGTGCTCTGTTCTTCTTCCAACTCAAGTCCAAGTCTGAAGAAGCTCAGCACAGTGCACAGGTTCTGTAGCACCGGCGAGGATCCTAAAAAACTTTGGGTAGATTTTAAACTCCAAATTTTGCCTGGGCAGTGCTGTTAGGCTACTCTTTTCATTTTCCAACTGCCAAGGGAATTTTTACATGCGCAACAATGCACACAGGCGTCCAATCTCACTAGCCAGAGACCAGAGGAAATACTAGAAGTCTAAGTCCATGTAAACCTGCAACCTCTAGCACTCTAGGTGGAAACCATGCAGCCCCCTAGTTTTATAGAAAAATAAAGCACACAACACGGGTAGATTTTGTTCACTGTTAGTCTGAATTGCACATCGGGCTTACCGATAAGTGGATATTATTTGTCTTATTGTTTGCCCTGACGACTCATGTTCTGTATTGGTTTATACAGCGACTGTGAGCTCAGGCATGATTTTCCCGTCATGCTGCAGCGATTGGTATATCTGGACTTCACATCTGAGTCACAGAGAAAGGGTTAGCCACATGTTTGAGATCTTCAGCACATGTTGCCCCTCTTATAGCATTAATTATGCTCATTCTGTCCGGTTACGGTCCACAGCGTATTTTTTTTTTTAAATATAATTAAAATACATTGAAAGAAATTAACTCACAAGCAGAGCTGACAACCCACATCATAAAAGCAACATTCCACACACTTAGAATATGTTATGAGGCAGGACAAACTGGCGCATGATAACCCACATCAGAAAAGCAACATTCCACACACTTAGAATATGTTATGAGGCAGGACAAACTGGCGCATGATAACCCACATCAGAAAAGCAACATTCCACACACTTAGAATATGTTATGAGGCAGGACAAACTGGCGCATGATAACCCACATCAGAAAAGCAACATTCCACACACTTTGAATATGTTATGAGGCAGGACAAACTGGCGCATGATAACCCACATCAGAAAAGCAACATTCCACATTCTTTAAATATGTTATGAGGCAGGACAAACTGGCACATGATAACCCACATCAGAAAAGCAACATTCCACATTCTTTGAATATGTTATAAGGCAGGACAAACTGGTGCACTTGTATAGGACCCACCCCCCCCCCCCCCCCTCCACCGTCAGGCATACTGGGCATACAGGGCTAGCCCTATATTTTATAGACCAATCGGCGGCACTGAGTGGGTGATGTGGTCACCATCACGCCGGCTGTGGTATATTTGTGGAAAACAGCTGCAGCGGAAGAGATACAAAGTGAGGCCAACAGAGAGGATGCCAGTCGCTTCAGCACGAACCCATTCAGCACCAACTGATTTTAACTGGAAAAACAACCCGGCTCACTACACTTAGAGAAAAGGCAAGACGGATACATAACGAGACTACGACAGGTAGCATTAGTACTGGAACTGCGCTGGCTGCTTAAGATGGGGATGGAGCGCAGATGGAAATGCCCTGTGTGCTGTGATGTCAATTCTTTACTCAACTTTCTGTGAACCACCCAGTTGTTACACCTAGCCACTTTGTCCTAGTTTTCTAACTTCTGCACTGCAGTGATATTGTTTCACATCCCCTGTCTCAGAAAATTATTACTTCAAGTAATAAATTCTTAGAACATATGTATAAGAACTTATTAGCAGTGCATAAGACCAGCATCGCATGGCTTTTCATCATTTTTCCCCGAGTAACTAAACTAATTTAGCAGGCTAGGATTTTCAATGTTTGCTTTCGACAGAAAAAAAAAAATTTGCCATTTCTCAAACAGGATTACACCTGGGTTTCCGTATGAGAACCCAGATTTCTAACCACTTTGTCAGCCACTCCTTCTTCCCAAGTACAACAAACAATCATAAACATCAGGTACTAAAGCAGCCACTATGCTCCTGAGTGCCCCAATTAATTAACGGATGGCAGCTGCAAGTCACTGATCCATATCAATTTATGTGCCTTAGCGTTTCCGCCCATTTTAAAGCCGTTTTCGCCAATTTTACAGCCGCAAGACAAAATGTGGGTCACAGATTACAGCTCTCACAGATTACAGCTCGTTGACTCAACACAAAAATGCAACCAGGAATTTTTTTGGGAAAAACACAGACAACAAACAAAGGGCATTTTGACAAGTCTGAGCAATGAACGTAATAATGTGAACAACATTACTAAAGAGAAGAAAGAACCGATACTGCAAATAGACTCATCTCGAATAACAACTGGAAAATGGTAAATAAAAATGGTCTGGATGACTCCGAAATGGAAAAATTAGCATTTCCAGAAATCACATTTTTGTTAACTGTTGTTCAGTATTTAGAATTAGTTTGCTACATACAAGATTACTGTTAGTTTTTTTTTTTTTTTTTTTGGTTGTAAGATTAGCTTACTGTTGTGTCATTGTTCTGTTCTTGAGATCAGTTTATTGCAGGTTTATAGATTTTTTTATTTTTAATCTAAGATTGCTTTACTGCAGGATTACATTACTTTCTTCAGTGTGGTATTCTTGTCATTTTGTTTGTTGATTAAAACAATTTGGTGTGTATGTCCTTGCGCTGAGCAGCTTAGTTGCTCTCTCATGCACACGTGCGTGCGTGTGTGTGTGTGTGCGCAGGCATCTGCGGGCGAGTGTGTTTGTGTGTGCAGTCACTCATCTTGAGACCTAAACATTAGCTACCTCCTATTTCATTTAGCTTATAGGTTAAAGGTTGCAGGCTAGTTAATATATTTTAGGCTAGGCTAAATTACATAAGATTACAGTACATAGTCTAAAGATTACAGGATAGTCCATAGATTAAAGGATCGTCCACAGATTATAGCACAGTCCATAGATTATAGGACACTTCACAGATTATAGGACACTTCACAGATTATAGGACACTTCACAGATTATAGGACACTTCACAGATTATAGGACACTTCACAGATTACAGGACACTTCACAGATTATAGCACAGTCCATAGATTATAGGACACTTCACAGATTATAGCACAGTCCATAGATTATAGGACACTTCACAGATTATAGGACACTTCACAGATTATAGGACACTTCACAGATTATAGGACACTTCACAGATTATAGGACAGTCCATAGATTATAGGACACTTCACAGATTATAGGACACTTCACAGATTACAGGACACTTCACAGATTATAGCACAGTCCATAGATTATAGGACACTTCACAGATTATAGGACACTTCACAGATTATAGGACACTTCACAGATTATAGGACACTTCACAGATTATAGGACAGTCCATAGATTATAGGACACTTCACAGATTACAGGACACTTCACAGATTATAGGACAGTCCATAGATTATAGGACACTTCACAGATTATAGGACACTTCACAGATTATAGGACACTTCACAGATTATAGGACACTTCACAGATTATAGGACAGTCCATAGATTATAGGACACTTCACAGATTACAGGACACTTCACAGATTATAGGACAGTCCATAGATTATAGGACACTTCACAGATTATAGGACACTTCACAGATTACAGGACACTTCACAGATTACAGGACACTTCACAGATTATAGGACAGTCCATAGATTATAGGACACTTCACAGATTATAGGACACTTCACAGATTATAGGACACTTCACAGATTATAGGACAGTCCATAGATTATAGGACACTTCACAGATTATAGGACACTTCACAGATTATAGGACACTTCACAGATTATAGGACACTTCACAGATTATAGGACACTTCACAGATTATAGGACACTTCACAGATTATAGGACACTTCACAGATTACAGGACACTTCACAGATTATAGGACAGTCCATAGATTATAGGACACTTCACAGATTATAGGACACTTCACAGATTATAGGACACTTCACAGATTATAGGACACTTCACAGATTATAGGACAGTCCATAGATTATAGGACACTTCACAGATTACAGGACACTTCACAGATTACAGGACACTTCACAGATTACAGGACACTTCACAGATTACAGGACACTTCACAGATTATAGGACAGTCCATAGATTATAGGAC